CTGATCCAAGTTATGACATTTCCCCTTCCTGTGCACGTAGATGATTTAGGATGCACATCTTGATAGAGGAAAAAGTCACGACTTCTGACAGTTGGCTGTGTTGTCTTTCATTAGCTAATGGTTAATGGCAGAAGATAAAAAAAAATATATAAAATTTAAAAAAATCTTGACAGGCAGGAGTAATGTGCCCCAAATTACAAAATGTAATTTAGAAAGAATGTAGGCAGTGCCCTACAGTTGGATTCCAAAAGTGCCCTTGCAGAGGCCCGCAAGGCAGATTGTGGTAGTAGTCAGAAAGCCCAAGCCTGGGTCTGGGGAGAACCAGGTTCCCGCCCAGCCAAGCCTCCAGCCAGCTGGCCACACTCGAACAAATGACTAGTATCGTTGGACTGCCATTTTTTCTTCCAGAAATGATCTTTCCATGTACTTTCCAGATTTAAAACAATATTTTTTTTTGCCAACAATAGCAAGACCCAGTAAATTAAGGGGCATTCTGATGATAAAATATCATGCAGCTGTTACAAGTCCTGTGTTTCCCAAGAATACTTGATAATATGACAAAAGGCTTGCTACATGATGTAAGTTAAAATAAAAAGTGTATGTGTGTCGGGGGGAGGAATTAAGTACAGCTATGACACTAAATATGCAAAAAGAAAGGTGCTAGGAGGAAACGTAAGACTAACAGGAAGCACAAAGTATTTTAACCATGCTTACGGGGGTAGTTTATTTTTTTTATCATTTAAGGTATTTAAAATTGTATTTATTATTACAAAGGAAGTTAATGCTTGGTTTTAAAAACTCCAACAACACACAAATATAAACAGTAAGAATCAAAGTTTCTCCTCTCTGGGGCCAAGGTTGTGGCTCAGCACGTCTCGTGAGGCACTGGGTTCATTCCCAGCACCACATAAAAATAAACAAATAATTTTTTAAAAAAGGTATTGTGTCCATCTACAACTAAAAAAAATGTATATTAAAAAAAAAGTTTCTCCTCTCTCACTTCCAGTGCCAGTCTCCAGATATATCCTCTATTAATGCCGTAAAATAATTCAGACTTCACCAGGTTTGAAGCTGAATTTTCTGGCACCCTGTGTTTTGTTGTTGTTGTTGTTGTTGTTGTTGTTGTTGTTGGCACTGGAGTTTGAATCCAGGGGCACTTAACCCCTGATCCACATCCCCAGCCCTTTTTCCTATTTTATTTAGAGACAGGGCCTCACTGAGTTGCTTAGGGCCTTGCTAAATTGCTCAATCCTCCTGCCTCACCCTCTGCATTCACTGGGATCCTGGGCATGCACCACCACACCCAGCCGGAGGCATCCTTTGTTTCAGGTAGTCTCTAAAGAGAAAGCTAGAAACATACTTGATTCTTGTTTTCTGTATGTAACTTAATGACTTTTCCAAATTACTTACACCAAACATGGC